TTTCAGTTCATCTACTACTCCAAAACAAAACGGTCTTACCATTTACTTTTCTCTGAACCAAGAAGAACCCCAAACTAAATCCCCGGATCAACGTTAACCGAGTACAGCTATTTTCTATTAATTGAACGAAACGCTAAGAAGGAAAATAAACTTCTCTATTAAATAAACAAGCCTTCACCACAATTCTGTTGTGCCAATCCAAAACTCCCCATCAAGCAAATATTCAACAGATTCATCACTGAGTCATTCATTATACACAGAATATTTTATTGCTTCAATATATTATAGCTTTTTTCCAACATATGAAGGGTATTTCAAATTTAATAATGAGGGAAAAGAAATCATCAAAATTTTACTTATGCGTAAAAAGAACTCTGTTATTACTTTAACGCTTAAACTAGGATAACATAAAGGATGAACTGCCAACAAGAGTTATCTCAACGCCAACAAATACATATCATCCAACTGTGAATTTGCCTCAATTACCACTGTCTAAATTCGGTAGCAATCGAAAGTTATAAACTCAAAATAAAGAAGCATTGGCATTGTTTGATATCGGTTCGGAATTATTCATCATAATCAAGGATTTAATATAACCTATAAAAATGACAGAAGAAGAATAAAAAGTTACTTTATTTAGTAACAACGCGTCGAAACCATGTTTTATAATCAGAATAGAAATCGGGGTAAGAAATGAAAGAAAGGAAAATATAATAATTGAGATCAATATGATGGACTATTCACGAACAACTTACAGATAATTAAATTAAATGATAAAAATCATCCATAAGAAATAAATGGTCTAAAAAGCTGCTGGAAAATGATCTAGAAAAGCTGCTGAAAAAATATCTAGAAAGCTATTAGAAAAGAGTATAGAAAGATATTGTCCCAATATGGTTATCAAAGCTGATTATACATATTTATTTAGCTAGATAAGACTCAATTCAATTTGTAGTCAGAATTTTCTTTATACCATGTAAAAGTTGGATCTATGTCATCAGGGAGTGAATTCATAAATAAACTATTGTTTTAATGTAGTATTGGTCAAAAACAAATCAACAACGAAATATTTTCCTATAAAGCTTCAAATTTATGAACCACGGAGGGGAAGACCGTCATGGTTTAAAGAAAAAGAAACCAATCAGCTTCAATTCGAGAGGAAAATAAAAGAAAATCAAAATTCAATTAACAACGTTCAAGGAATCAATGCAAAAGATTAAAGAACAGGAAAATTCAAATTTTCAGTCAACGATATCTGAAGATTCCTTAAATAAAAACAATTGATTCGAATAATAATAGCTCTAAAAATTGGAAGCACATAAAGCAGCAAATCCCAAAGAAACAAAAAGTAAGCTAAATTCTTTTAAAAAGCTTATTACTAATAATAATTACATAACATCAGTTCAAGTAACAGCGGCGAAAGATCGCAAATGAATTTGTTATTCCCTTAAACTAAGGTATTGTCTACAAAATATTCAAAAATTGAATTATTTAATTGCATGTCTCAATGGTGACGCTTATTAGCCATCAGAGGCTGTGAGGAAGTAATTCTATAACCGGAAAATGTGGGAAAAAGAAATTCGCAAATGATACTTTGAACTATCATAGAAAGATCTCAACATCTGAGCAATATTCAGTTGTTAGCAAGTATTACGTCAAATTATAAATTTATAATTTCAAATATTAAATCAAATTTAATTTGTTTGTGAAAGATAACCAGTGTATTCAACAAAACTTTTATCTTTTTTCCGTATTTCATCTTAGTTATTCTTATTCTTTCTAATAAAAAGGTTATTATTTGTTCTGAATAAAATTATTATTAATATTTGATATCATTTCCGACAGCCACAGCTTCCAGTTCGATTTTTTGTGGAATTTCAGTGATATTTTCTTACAGATTATTCTCTAATCTTACAGATTATTTTCTTACAAAATAATCTTACACATTATTTTCTTACAGATTATATCTTATGACTGGACAATTCTTTTTGCTTTCTTTAACCTTTACTATGTGCTGTTGTCAGCAATTTGCCCTCTTTCCAGTTGACTGATAAATGTCTCCTTAGTTGTCCATTGCTGCACTTGTATAAAACGAGTTGCATGTTTCATTTTGCAAGAGTTTCTATACCAAAACTTATTCCGATCGGAATTTCAATATCACATCTTTCCCGCATTTCATCGGCTGTTCATATCGCTCTCTTTTTATTGCCGTATTATTAACAGAAATAAGTTGCTAGTATTTGTTTTTAGTTGCCTTTTATTGACACTTACGCTGGAAATGTGTGACAAAATGCAAAAGTTTTACCGCTTCATTCTCAACAAATGCTGTTTTGCCGAAGTAAAAATTGGCGTGGTTTCGAGATGTGTAAGAATCTAAGGATTGAACAACCTTTTTGAAATTTTCTTTAATAGTTAACCATGTTGTTACAAAGCAAGGAAGTCGGTACAAAAGCGACGCTGGAATCAAATTTTGCAGCACAAAATATTAGTTTTTGAAATAGATACATACATATATATGTCTAAAAAATAAAATATATACATATATATATTTCAAAAAGAAATGTTCTTCATTTTTTAAAAAGTACATATTTTATTTTTTCAAATTTGTTCAAAAAATACGGATGAATTATAATTGAAGTAAATAATGAAAAGTCGAAATTGAAATGAACAAATAGACAATTGGCACTTTATTAAATAATGAGAAATTAATTTATTCACCTAAATTGTTGTTTATGAAATGAATTGATTCGTTTCTTTATGCATAACACAAATATTGTAAATTAAATTGATTTTATTATATTTCTAAAACTATAATACTATTATTTGAAATATTTCTATGTTAGGTGTAAATCTGAATAGCTTAAATTGTCTGTCAAATAGCTTAGGTAGAAATTAAAAAAATTAAGTAAATAAATTTTGTAGGATATAAAGGAATGAATAAATATTATATTCAGATTAGAAAATATAATTCCAATTTTTGATTCAAATTAATAAAAAAGAAAGAAATTGACACAGAATTACAACAAAACAATAAAATGAATTCATGATCGGAGTAAAAGATAAATTTAAATTGATAAAAGTTCATATATTTTATCATTTCTTTATCTCTTTACCGAATTAGTTTTTCAAACATTTTATGTTATGCCTTTCAGATTATATCACTTTCATAGATAAAATTGATTGATAGTTTATTGTCTTGTGATACTGATTTAATTAATATATGTATAACATATTGCGAAAACATTTATAATTTCATATTGGTATTATTACTGCTGTGATACATACATACAAGTTCATTTTATGCATTTTTAAAAGTTTTTATAATTTAATATGGGAACAATGATTACTGACAAGAGATATGCAATTTTTTGACGCTGAAAGTCATTCATGCAAAGATTCGTTAATCATATCACTTGCAATTAATTTATTCGCAAAACTCCAAGTTATTGCAGGTAAATTATCTTCCAACAATATGTATTTCGTTAATAGGAAAAGAGAAAAGAATTATATATTTTTAGAAGTCGCCGTGCTGGAAGTGACTTATCGCTTAAATTGACATCACTGGAACCATTAACTCAATTATCTCAAACAAATGATGACCTTCATCAGACTGATCACCAGGTGAATCAATCAAGTTTGTATTATTTTATCAAATATTAAATGGATGAATAATTCTACTTTTCTCTTCTCTACACTTCTTTTTCTCTTTTCATAATAATTACCGGAGATTTTTTTATTTTTAATAAGATTTCACTCAAGCATCAAAAATTTTTCGTTTTCAATATTGGAAGCAATTTTCTACTTTAATTCTATTCGAAAATGATATAATCATAATTCAATATCGATAATGAAACTTCAAACTTTTTATCGTAGAGCTAAACGACGATGAAAGCTCATGTTTCTTTGACAACAATCACTGAAATCAGTGAACCGGAATATTTCCTATTCCATATTCAATAAAAATTGACTTATAATTAGTCACATTTCCCTATCAGAGATAAATTTACTTCGCAATAAATTGTCACATTTGTTTAAATGATCAGTAATATTCAAAAACATCAACAACGAGATGCCGAAATAAATAATGCTTTCATCAAAATGCATATGGCTTAATGATATTTTGAAACGATTGAATCAAGTTATTTGTTCTTTTTACATTGCCTTTTTCATACGTGCAATACAATGTTTTACGTAATTTCAGAATTTAGAAATGATTCTGTTACGCTTCTGATATTTACATATTCGATTTCAATGTTCCAAAATTTTGCGTTTCATTGAGATGCACTCTTTCATTTTGCAGAAAATGAATGAAACTGAGAAAGAGCTTTGCGCTGAAGCATACCATTTACAAACAAATTTTTTTTTCCAAACAGTTCAACTTTTCTTGGTCATTCTCAGTACTACGGGAATTATTCTTATCCTATATGTTTCTATCAATATGTTCATCAAGAAGGTGAAAATTTCGCAAAAATTTTACTTCAAATACTAATTGATTCAATTATGATCGTTGCAAATTTTAAACGAATCTCTTTGCTTATGCTAATTTCCATTCATTCCTCATTCGATTAATTCTGGTTTGACTATATTCTATAACTTTCTGTTAATTTCTATTGGATTAAATCACTTATAATTTGGGAACTCTTATTGCATCATTAATTGATTGCATCTGTAAGGAAAAAATCAATTAAGTAAATGTTTGGAAGTGATAGATTTATTTTTTCAGATATTCCATATAAACTTAAGGATATTGTTGACAAATTTGTTGGTTTTATTACTTCTTCGATCATTTGTAATCGTTTTCCGATCATCCAATTTTATATATCGTACGATAACTTATAAGGTCGTATTTGTCTCGATGTATTTAATCAAATTCTGCTTTGAATGTTTGGGACAAATTTAACATTAGTAAGAAAGTTAGCAAAAAGCTTTCATCAAATCTTTAAACAATTTATTGCTTTTATCAAATCTAAATCCTACAATTTTAGGATCAATGTTCCTTCTTGGAGGATTCCATTAGATGCTCAGTTTTGAATATTTCTAAAATAGCGCCCCTCGAATGCTTTCGGTACGCATTCACCGCAATTACGATTGAACGATTTATTGCTATGTGCTTTTATCATCGTTATCAAGAATGGAAATATCCAATTGCGCTTGCTTTCATACCTTTGACGGTTCAATTTTCGCAGAAATTTCAATTTTTACTGCAAACAATTTGAGTCAATGAATAGCGCATAAATTCTGTGAAATGCTATACATTTGTTAAATAAATTAATCTGTAAAAATATTTATTTTTATATATTAGTTCATACTCTAAAAAATTGTAAAAATGTCGGTGGAACGGAGCAACAAGTAGTAATATAACTTCTAAAGAGTAGTGAATTGAAAATTAAAAAACTTTGTTTTCCAGTGGGTTCAATTAGCATTAGGCATCAAAAATGCAGCAGCATTGGTACTCCACCAAGGTCAGAAAACTAACAAAAGTTTTTGCTCTTCGGTCACCATCAGTCCAGCGAAGTATATAAATTTGATATTGGAAATACCGCTGCTAATTTGCATATTCTTTCTGCTTCTGATAACACGCATAATCAGCAAGAGAAAAATGATGTTAGAATATCCTTCTCTTAAATGAATTATTTTTACAGAAATTTTTATTGTTACCGAATGAAGATGCAATGTAATGCGACAAATTTGATTCTTTTCAAGTTTACCTGTAATTAAGAATTTATAACTTGAAGATTTATTTTTTTTTGCTTCCTAAATATATTCTAATTTAGACTTCAAATGCGAGTATCAATGGATTCATTATCATCACGTTATCAAATCCGAGAAAATATGAAAACATCAAAGACGGTGTTTATAGCAACCATAATGTTTATCATAACTTCCCTCCTCAATCTGTCAGGAGTATTCTTGTTGATACATTTTCTCTCGGCCGACCTCTTGTATTTTGCAATTTTGAAAGTAATTGATTACTGCAATTTGTAATTAGAGCTAAAAATTGTTTCTTCATACGCATGAATTCATAAAACATTCAGCATTAGTGCGTAAAGCTTATAAGGTGACAATGCGATGTCTCGCATTGCGGACATTGAAGGCTGTCTTTCTATCAAAACAAATATTGAGCGTTCAATAAAGCACAAAAAACAATTTTGGTATTATGAATGTTATTCCTACCTAATTCGTTTTAATCTCTTTTGTTATAACAATATCTGTTGCCACTGCACTGTGATACTGTCCTGTGATTGCAGGAAATCGTAAGTCTTTCGTTTGCAATATTCATCAATGCCATACCGCTTTTACTGATCGTCAGAGTGGGACGTATGCATGATCAGATCATTGAATGGTTACTTCCATTTGGATGCGGTCGATCTAATAGAGTGGGACATGAATTGTCAGGACAACGACAAATGGATATTATGAAGCAAATGTGGGAAAAAGAAATTCGCAGATGATACTCGAACTATCATAGAAAGATCTCAACATCTGAGCAATATTCAGTTGTTAGCAAGTATTACGTCAAATTATAAAATTATAATTTCA